CATTGGAAGGCTAATTGCCCTTCAGTGACTGGCCGTGGTCGGGTAGGCCCTCCACCAAACCCGGTCCCTATCCCAGCCGACCTGTTAGGCCTGGCTGCTGAAGATTGAAGACGCCCAGGTTCAACGACCTCCATCACCTTTGCCGAGGCCAGGGTAACCCTTCAGGTAGCAGATAAGCTAGTTTCCATTCTGATTGACACAAAAGTTATGTTCTCAGTGTTCCCTTCCCTTCTTGGGTCCTGTTTTCCCTTCCCAGGTCTCAGTAATGGGGATTGATGGCCTCCCTTCTAAGCCTTTTACCACTCAACCCCTCCTCATTACTTTCGACGAACAAGAACTTACCCATTCCTTTCTAATTATCCCTACATGCCCAACTCCATTGCTAGGTAGAGATCTCCTGTCTAAACTTGGTGCTATGTTTCACTGGGAGCCAAGAGAATCTAGTCCACCTGATCAGCTTTTAGTTTTATCCCTTTTAGCACTCCTTCCCTTTGAGCCCTTTTCTACACTACCTCTATCACCAGACATTGTCAACCCCATTGTACGGGATCTTTCCACTCCATCTGCAGCCTCTCACCACCAATCTGTTCTTGTTACTCTGAAAGACCACTCCTCTTTTCCTGCTAGACCCCAACCCCTATTTCTGCATGACACTGAAAAAGTTTAAAACCCATTATTACTCAACCTACTTTCCATTAACTTTCTTATCCCCTCATGTTCCTTGCAATATCTTTTATTGATGATCTTTTATTGTGTAGCCCCTCATACCAACTTTCACAAACTCACACTGTGCAACTTCTTAACTTCTTAGCCTCCAAGGGATATAGGGTATCCCCCTCCAAAGCCTAACTGTCTCTCCCTACAGTCATGTGTCTTGGTTTTCAATTGACCCCCACCACTAGCCAAGTCATTGAAAGCCTCCAGCCACCTAAAACTGCTAATCAAATCCTCTCTTTTCTCAGCGTTATTGATTTCCTTAGACACTAGATTCCCAACTTTTCCTTACTTAGCAAACCCCTTTATGATACGGCAAAAACCACCTCTCAAAGAAGCCTAGATTCACCCCAGAATTGCCAAATCCATCTAAACCTTTCTATCTATAACTGATGAAGAACAGGGTATTGCTGTTGACATCTTAGCTCAGCCTCTTGGACCCACCTATACCCCCATTGCATTCCTTTCTAAGCATCTCGATGTCACTACCCAGGGTTGACAACGCTGTTTGTGATCCCTAGCAGCAGCAGCTCTCCTCACTAAAGAGGTGCTTAAACTCACTCTAAAAAGCCCTCTGCAAGTCTTCTCTAGCCACAGACTTCAAGACCTGCTTTCGCACCGCTTCCTATCTTTACTTCCCCCTGGGTGGAGACAGGAGCTCCATCTACTTTTTCTTGAGAACCCTGATATTAACCTCTCAATGCAGCCACCTTACTTCCAGCAGATACTTGGACTTATGACCATGGCTGCCCTGAAATCCTTGAAGATATGGGCTCTTCCCTCCCTATCTGACCAATCCATCCCTAATCCAGACAATACTCTGTTTGGTAACAGCAGCTCTTGTATGACCTCTGAAAGTTACCATTATGCTATGCTGTGGTTTCTAGAAACAGAGTGTGGAAAGCAGCAACTTACTTCCTATTTCCTTAGCCCTTATATCTGAGCCCCTTTGAGCTAATGTACAGCTGATCATTTCTGCTAAACCATAACCAACCCATTGAGCCCCTTCTTTTAGCATCATACCTTCCTTATCTTTCCCTCCTTAGACAATCACTCCAGGAACATGCAGACTGCTGCATACCCAGACCCTTGCCTGAAAGTCTAGATCAGAGAGCTGGAGTTGCCCCAGGAGATGCTGTCCTCATCAAACGGTGTGCACTCATATCTCTTCAACCACACTAAGACAGAATTTACACAGTCATCCTAACTACCCCCACAGTGGTTAAGGTCATAAGTAAACACCATTAGCACCACCTCTCCCAGGTCAAACATGCTCCTCTCACTGCGCAGACCTACACCTCTCAAATGGTGGGCCCCACTACTCTTTTCCTCACTCAGATCCCAAGCCCTAAGTATCTCTTGATATTGTTACTAGTTGCTTCCCTGACTGCTTTTCACCTCACTCAAATCCCAAGCTTTAAGTAGCTCTTCATATTGTCATTAACCACTCCCTGCCTTTTTGAATTCTTACTTCACAGGATAAAAGAAATTACCAACTTGAACCAGCTTCTGCGACATCCATATTTTCCCCTGGCTACTGGTCTTGGACCATCCCAATCCAGCCTCTGTGCCCCAGATCTTCGTCCTGTTCAGCAGGAAGTAGCTAGAAAGAACATGTTGCCTTTTTTTTATCACTAAAGAGACTGGAATGTCAGGCCTAGACCAAGGTCAAAGGGAGAAGGACGATTCAAAGAATATCAACATGTCAACAAAGGGAGCGAACAGCCTTGCCCATCTGACTAAACTACCATGGAGTGCCTCTCCCTTCCCTCCATAGAGGACCTCTTCTTTCCCTCCTTAAAGACCCCTACTATAAAACCTGCCCTAATCCACCTTAGGGTATGGTTTTCCCTTGGTCTGTCTCTCTCCAAACCAAAGGGTCCTACCCTGGAACCCCCTTAATAAAGATTCTTTAGCTTGCTTTCTTTCTTTCTCTGGTTCCTTCTTTGAGTCCTTGGCCTTATGTCCAGTGCAAAGACCTAACACTAAAGAGCAAGACTGCCAACTTAAAGATTATATGGCTTAAATGATGATATTTTCAATTGCTTCATATGTCTGTGAAAACTAGACCATAAGTAAAGACAGAAGTGATGCCTTTTAATAGTTGGTGAAGAATATTGAATATACCATAGACTGGCCAAAGAATAAACAAATCTGTCTTGGAAGAAGTGTAGCTAGAGTACTCCTTAGAGGAACATATGAGACATCTAATATAGTTTAGGCATATTATCAAGAAGGGCCAATCCCAAAGGCATCATGCTTGGAATAATGGAGAGCCAGTGAAAAAGAAAGGCCCTTGATGAGGTAAACTGACACAATGAATACAGCAATGAGCTTAATCATAGCAAAGACTGTGAGGATGGCACAGAACCAGGAAAAGCTTCAATGTGTTGTGTATAGGTGGGGTCACAATTAGTCAAAACTAACTCGTCATCACTTAACAACCAAATCTTACCATCTTTTCCTCTTGCTTATCTTCTGCAAAACCCATTTCTCATCTTGAAAAGCAAACTATATTATATTGTTCCTGCTAAAAACCTTTTATGTATTCAGTCAGAAGATATTTTCTGAGAACCACCCTATCAGTCCTGGGAAAATAACACAAGGTAAACTCCTTGTGTTCAAGAGGAGGCAGAAGAAACGCTAACTGCTATAGCACCAATGCTATGGCTATAGTCTAGCAAGAGGGAAGGGAGGTAATAAGCATCCAATGACACACACAAGGTAACTCAGCTACACATAAGTTATATAAAAAAGATAACACAGAGTAATGGGAAAGTAATGATGGGGAGGGGAATGTCGTGGAGACAAAGAAGGCAATTAGTAGATTGTTGTTGTTTCCTGCCATCAAGTTGCTTGGGACCCATAGTGACCCTACGTACAATAGCTCTGAAGCCTTCCCTGTCCTGAGCCAGTCTCACTGACTTGGACACACCTACCCCCATTGCCCTCGTTACTGTATTAATTTATCTCATCAGGGTCCTCTTCTCCTATGTTATCCCTCCACCATTTTAAGCATGTCCTCCTCCAAGGATATACCTTCTGGTCACATGCACAAAGTATGTGAGACAGAGCTTCAAAATCCTAGCCTTCAAGGAGAAACCTGGTTTCATCCTCTCTAAGACAGACCTATTTGTTTTCTTGGCGGTCCATGATATGTTCAATACTCTTCTCCAGCACTAGAACTTAAAGGCATCAATTCTTCTATCCTCCTTAGACGTTATCCAACTCTCTGATACACAGCAAGTAATTGTGAAGACCATGGCCTGGATTAGGTGCATCTTAGTCTGTAGACTGACATCATTGCTTCTCAGTACTCTGGAAAGGTCCATGACAGAAGATCTACCTAGTGCAATTCGCCTTTTGATTTCCCCACTGCTGGTGCCTAAAGTGTTGATTGTGGAGACAAGCAAGCTGAAATTATTAACAACCACAATCTCTTCTTCATCCATCATGGTGCTGCCAGTTGGCCCAGTGGTGAAAATCTTTGTCTTCTTGATATTGAGCTTCAATCCATATTGAAGACTACAGTCCTTGACCTTCTGCAGAAGCACTTCAGGTCCTCATCAGTTTCAGCAAGCAGGGTTGTGGCATCTGCATAACGTAGGTTGTTCCTCCACTCCTGATGCCGCATTCTTCCTTATAAAGCCCAGACTCCCAAATGATCTGTTCTGCACACTGATTGAAAAGGTATGGAGACAGGACATATCCCTCATGAACTCCCTTTCTGATTTTGAACAATGCAGTGTTTCCCTACTCTGTTCTGCTCTACTTGGTAGATAGAGTAGCTTTTAGGATTTGGTCATCCATCATCCATCTAATCTCACGTTCACATACTGAAGTGGAAAACCACATTTCCCTGTCCCTTTTTGTTTAGAGTTCTGGCTGTAGTTTACCTCCTACCAACAAAGTATGCTAGCTCGAGAGATTGTTTTGGAGCTAAATTAAGTGGGAAAAGAAAAGCAGAGCACAGAGCAACCATCATGCTAGCATGAGCCCTGGCAGAGGCACCAGAGTCCACAGTGGTGGCTGCAGTCCACCTGCTGACCCAGTTCTTTGGTGTATTCTTAGAAGTCATTCTTAGAAACCCAGCCATCTCTGTGTCTGGAAAAATGATACCTCTCTATACACACCCTTGGCACCTCTCTTTCCCACACCTGAGGTTTAATAAAAGTAAATCTAGATGGAGGCAAAGAAAATAGCCACAGTTGGGAAGATGGAACATGAGTAAGCAAATAGAGGACAATATGCTAATGATAAAGAAGGACTAGGAAAGAGACTTTTACCTTATAGAAGGGGGCGTCTCGTCCTTCAAACCTGAGACCTGAAAATACAAGGGAAAGGTGGGGGGAAAGGATGTTATTACAGTTCTTTGTTCCTCTCACATGCCTGGCTGATTCCTATTTATCCTCCATTCATTCCCTATCCAGAGTGCTTGCTGATTACTCCCTCTCCCAGAGTTCTGTCAGATGGTCTTCCATGGTCCTTCCCAAGCCCCAGTGGTCCTAAAACCTCGGGTTCCAAGCCTCAGCTTCAGATGAGTTCTATGAGCTAATTCTTTACTCATTCGTTACTGAAGGGGAGGAGTAATAGATAAAGAATGGATTATCCAAAACAATAAGTTATTTAACTCTGGCTATTTAGGAAACACAAGCAACTCTTTCCAAATGTACTTAAAGTACATCTCTACCCAGGCAAACATGCTCTACAAATTCAATCTGTATATTTGGCAGATTAAATGTGACATTATCTTAAAAAAAAATCTCTAAACGTACAAAACAACTTTCTGATTTAAACACACATACACATACACTGTGGCCTATAGATAGCTTATTAAACTCTTCTGACAAAATGGCAAAATACTATTTACCTCACAGGATTGCTGTAAATGTGAGGTAAGGGTACCCAAAGCAGACCTGACAAGAGCTAGGCTCACTTAGTTTAGGGGCTGAGGCCTCAGCCCTGCATGCCCATCATCTGTTCCCTGTCTGGGATGACTTGCCACAGCTCTGACACCTTCATTTCCTTCTCTGGAGCTAGGGTTATGCATTGAAAATCCTCTTCTCTCCGGGCACTCTGCTCATCTTCACCCCATCTACGGTGCAGGTTTGTGCAGCATGGGTTTCTTCCTTGCTTGCTGGTGCTGAGCCTGGATAGAGTTCAATTAAATCTACAAGGAGGGTCAGATCCCCCTGTGTTGCCAACACCCAACTCTCTTGGATCTTTTCTGGGCCTGTAATGGGACTGCTTGCCTCAAGCTGAGCTCACAGCAGAAGAGCTGGCTGGCTGAGGCATTTCTTGGTTCTGGAGTGGCGATATATGCATCTCACCTCTGTTCTCTCCACTGGTAACCTTCTCCTTCTTGCTATGGGAAACTGAGGTGGGAGAAACCAGCAGTTGCACACAAGTTGATTCTGATCCTGTGTGTTTCAAACTAGAACTGCACTCTGCAGGCTTTTCATGGCTGTGTTAACTCAGGCCTTTCTTTGAGGGTAGATTTTCTTCTGGGTGGATTTGAACTGCCAATCTCTCAGTTCATTGCCAAGTGCTTAACTGTGTCACCTTTTGATATGAGAAAGAAGAGACACTGAAAAATAGGGGTGTTTATAACTCCACTTGGAGGGGAATTTCAGCTGACACAGAAATTCTTTAGAATGCTATCCCTGGAGATAGCCTGCACTTGGGTTTTGGGGTTTTTTCTTGGTGACACCAAAAAAAGTCAATTATGCCCTAACCATCGAGGCATACATACTTCATCTTCTATGCTGTCTTGGAAGCCTACAGTGGTTCCAGTGGTCAGATTTCCCAGTAAGGAAACAATGAGGCTTTTCAATCAGTGAGGTCACTAAAGTTGGTATTACACAGCAAGTTAACTCCTGGTTTCATCACCCTCTGTTCACGGATTTCCTCCCATACCAAACATATCTAATCCTTCTCAACTCAAAACTCCCACTGCAACTGAGTTAGAATAGACCCACAGCTGACCCTCCGATGGGTTTTGAGAAGCTGTTAATCACATAAGGAGGAGATTGCCAGTAATTCTCCTCCAGTGTCATCAGTGGATTCAAATTGTGAGAGAGATGCCACCTTTGAGTTAGCAATGCAATTCCCTCCTGCAGACTATGTCACCTGTTAAGTCTTTAATAATGTTTGTTACACATTTTAAGCACTGAATGATATGATAAATATTATTGTAAATGGCTTAAATACCATATGTCTGATTATATGACTATTAACAATGAAATTGGGAGCTCTGGGGGCTTAGTAGTAAGGAATTATCAGTATTGACAACCTAAAGGCACATTGTTCGAATCCGCCAGTTGCTCTACAGGACAAAGATGGGCAATCTCCTCCTGTGTGATTTACTGCTCTGAAAACCCACGGGAGTATCAGTTATGGGCTGGTTCTGACTCTACAGTATATAACAAAATTGTTTTATAAAATCTACATTGAGTTGTGGTTGTTGTTAAGTGCTGTCGAGTTGTAGATGACTCATAGCGACCTTATGAGCAAAAGACCTGAACACTTCTATAACTTTCATCATTTCTCCAAGTTCATAGGGTTTCTGGAGGCAAGCTAATTTGGAAGTGGATGCCACTCCTGCTTCCAAGCTTGGTTTAATCGGGGAGCTCCACCAAACACTGTTCACCATGGGTAATCATTATTTCATTTGACTAGTTGTTGTTGTTGTTGTTATGTGTCATTGAGTTGCTTGCAACTTATAGTGACCCTATGTACAAGAGCCCTAAACCCTGCTCTATCCTGTGCCAAACTTACCATCTCTGACACACTCATCCCACCACCCTAATCACAGAATTGATCTGTGATCAAGGGTCTTCCTCTCCTGCACCATCCCTCCATACTCCCAAACATGATGTCCCTCTCCAAGAACCGGTCCCTCCTTGCAACATGCCCAAAGTATGTCAGACGAAGCTTCAGAATCCTTGACTCCAAGGATCGGTCTGGCTTCACCCTCTCTAGGACAAAACTGTTTGTTCTCCTAGCAGTCCATGGTATATTCAGCACTCTTCTCCAGCACCACAGCTCAAAGGCATCAATTATCTTTCTATCATCCCTAGTCACTCTTCAACTCTCCGATGCATAGCACATAATTGCAAAGACTATAGCCTGGAACAGGTGCACCTTAGTCTCCAGCCTGATATCATTGCTCTTCCATATTCTTGAGAGGTCCCTGACCGCTGACTTTCCCAATTACAAACATTATTAGTAACTGAGAACAGGAGCCTTCTAAATTTCCCTCTCTTTAATTATAACTTTGTTCTAAAAAACTCCACTGTTACTATGCTGTTGTACACCATCACGTGGGAATTAACCCAGAGCTGACGCTCCAGCAGGTTTTCAGAGGCAATAAATTTTACAGGAGGAGATTTCCCATCCTTCTTCCACAAAACCGCTGGTAAGATTCAAACAACATGCCTTTGGGGTTACAGGGTACCCTCTTACCACCAAAGCTCCCTATTGCTATAGGTTCACAAATACAAATTACCACGATTCTGTCACAAACACCAGAAGTTTTGACAAAGTCAGTGACTATGAAAGCAATGTGCAGCAACCCAAACAACAAATGTTTGTAGCATATACTGATGAAACCATACGATTATTCAAATAAACATCAGTGTAATTGGGTCACATTCACAACTCTGACCTGAGTCTGACATTCATTTACTTCAAGAAGCAAATTAGCCTAGAGTTTCAGCCTTGTAGGTATGTTGATCCACAAAACTTGAGGGTGGTTTTTTTTAAAATATTTTTTTTTGTTAGCCGCTATGGGAATATTATTAAAAAAATTAATAAACTTCTGCTGAAACACAAAGTTCTGCTATTAAGCAAAGTTCTTAAAGACAGTGAGTTAGGTGTCACTTCCTCTATCACCCAGTGCAGTCCACAATCGCCACCTGCACTAGTAACACCACTGCAGTCACTGATACCACATCAAGCTCCTTGTGGTGTCAATACTCAGAAGTAATGGCTTCTTTCTTCTTCCCCCACCCCTCACCATTAGCCCTGAAAGGAAACAGCTGACTAAGAAGGAATAAGAAAGCAGCCTGGGTTCTCCCAGGGTGGGAATGCACTTACCTGGAATGAGAACTGTGTGCAGGGGCATCACCTCCACCCCATGAACCGGGTACCCAAAGGGGAGGTTGGGCTGAGCCAGCAGGGGCGGTGGATGGGGCAGCCCTTCTCTGTAGGGAAAAAGACACGACATTAGAAGCCCTCTAGTGAGGCCCCAGGGAGCTTCTGGCGTGGTTCTTGTCCTGTCAACAATCACGAGGAGAAGTTAGAAGCAGACTGCCCCTGTCTGCACTCTTTCCTCTTTTTACGGGCTTTTATTTCACTCCTCCTCCTTCAACCTCTAATTAAACACATGAGAAAGTTTACATAAAAAGGAAAAATAATGACCAAGAAAAAAAATAAAAAGAGTGACTGAGGAAAACATGAAAAGCCACTCACTATCATTAATTATTTGTTCTCATTGTTTTTAGGTGCTATTCATAGTGACCCTCTAGGTCCAGCAAAGCAAAAACGCTACCTCGTCTTGCGCTATCCTCACCAGCAAAACCACAAGGAGATTAGTCACATCAGCTTTGTCTCTTTGCGGTCAAGCTGGAACCAACTCATACACAGCTGACTTTTCAGCAGGTTTTCTGAAGTTGTAATTTGCACGAGAGGAAATTGTACGTCTTTATCAGAGCCGCTGCTGTATCCCAGCTGCAAGAGAGGTGTGAAACCTAGATCCAGATCAAAAAGCTATTGTCCAAACCAAGCATGGGAACACAGTATGGTTTAAAATCAAGAAAGAAGTATATCAGGGCTGTATCCTTTCATCCTTTCTTCATACCTTTCCAATCTGTATGCTGAGCAAATCATTAGAGAAATTGGATTCTTTTTTTTTTTTTTTAGAAATTGGATTCTATGAAGAAGAATGTGGCATCACAATCAGAGGAAGACTCATCAGCAACCTGTATTATGTAGATGACACAATTTTGTTTGCTGAGAGTGAGCAGGACTTGAAACACTTACTGCAGAAGATCAAAAACTATAGCCCTTAATATAGATTCCATCTCAGCATCAAGAAGACAAAAATCCTCACCACTGGGCCAACAGGCAACATCATGATATACGAAGAAAAGACTGAAATTGTCAATGATTTCATCTCACTTGGATCCACAACCAACACTCCTGATACCAGCAGTCAAGAAATCAAAGACGTATTGCATTGGGATCTCTCCAAAGTACTGGGGAGCAATGATTTCAGCTTAAAGATTAAGATGTGCCAATTAAGGTCTTTTCAATCACTTGCTATGCATCTGAGAGTTGTTCCATGATTAAAGATGACAGAAGAAGAAATGATGCCCTTGAGCTATGGCGTTAGAGAGGTACTGAATATCCTATTGACTCCCCAAAGAACAGATATGTTTTAGAGAACATTCAGCCGAAGTGTGCCTTGGAGGCAAGGATGGCAAAGCTTCGTATCACATATCATACTTGAAAAGGTGGAGGGTCAGTGATGGTCTGACATAGTGACTGCAGCAAAGGGCTCAAGTATGTCAGAGTGATGAGGATGACACTCGTAGGACAGGAATCAAATCTGTGGTTCATGGATTGCTATGTGTCATACTCCTCAGTGGCACCTAGTAATAGCAAGTAGCAGAATTCTGGTAAGTAAAATAATGTCAGACAGGAAGAGTGGGGGGACAGTGCATGAGAGGAAGACCCCGGATGAGATGGACTGATACAGTAGCTGGGACAAGGAGGGCTGGTGCGTTGGAATTAGTGAGACTGGCTCAGGACAGGGCAGGGTTCAGAGCTGCTGTACATAGGGTCACAGGCAACTCGATGGCACATACAACAACAATAAATCCCATGATCTGCCCACATATGGGACCTGACAACATAGAGGGAAGAAGGTAAATTCTAGCAAACAACTTGATTTGTGAAGCAGCAAAGCAGAAGGGGGATGCCCAAATTTCCTGATGCTGCTGCCCTCACATGAGGCCTATGAAATGAAGCCAACCAAAGAAGAACCTATCCTAATGACTGTTCCCTAAAGCACTATTTCCACACAGCAACTATTAGAAGTTAAACCTTGAGTCAGAAGAGACTGTGGAACAAGGGGCATCAATCAGATGGATCTTAACTGAGTGGTGCAGAGAATAACAGAAATGTCTACTTGTGTTTTGTTTACTATGACAAGTCATTCAACTGTGGAGATCAAAATAAATTCTGCCTAGCAATGAGTCTCTTAGAATACTTAATTGTAAAAAAAAAATACTTAATTGTACTCATATGGAACTATAAAGGGACCCAAAATCAATCATTGGAACACAACAAGGGATATTTGTTGTTGTTGTTGTTAGGTGCTATCCGCTTGAGTATGACTCATCACGACCCCATGAAGAAAAGATCTATCCCTGTTGTATCCTGTGCCAACCTTACACTTCCTGACACACAAAAGCCCATTGCAGTCCACCTTATTGAGGGTTTGCTAGCCCTTCCTAGCAACATGCCCAAAGTATATGAGGTGAAGCCTCATCGTTCTTGCCTCCAAAGAGCATTCCAGCTGCATCCTCTCCAAGACATATTTGTTTCTTCTTTTTTTGAAGTGTTTAAATATAAAAGCATAAAAAGATCTCCAGCCTTCAGTATGGATTGTATCTCACCATCAAGAAAACAAAAAAACCTTACAACTGTACCAAAAGACAACATCATGTTACCTGGAGAGAAGATTGAAGTTATTAACAATCATTTTAGTAGTCTTTGCAAAACATTTATGAAAGCAGCTGCGAGAATACATTATAGGTATTGCACTGGGGAAATTTGCTGTCAAGGACCTTTAAAGTACTGAAGAGCAAGGAGGTCATTTTAAACACTAAATAACACCTGACACAAAACTCAAACTCACTGCTGTTGAATTGATTCTGAAAACCTCCCCTTGTGGTTTCTGTAAAGTACAATGGAAGAAGACTGTCCATCTTTCTCCTTTGGAGCCACTTTGTGGATTCCTAGAGCCATTCATCTTTTGGTTAGCAGCACAACGCACTGTGGACTATGTCAGCAGAGCTTCCAACACCTCACCTACACCATGGTACTTTTAAATGCTTTATATGCATCTGAAAGATGGACAATGAATAATGGAGACCAATGAATTATTAATGCTCTTGAATTATGGAGTTAGCAAAGAATATTGAATATGGCATGGGCTGTCAAAAGGGCAAAGAAATCTGAGAAATGCATTCAGGGTGCTCCTCAGAGGCAAAGATGGTGAGACTTTATCTCACACACTATGGGCATGTTTTCAAAAGGGTCAGTCCTTGGGAAAGGACATTATAGTTAGCAAGGTGGAGGGTCAGAGAAAGAGGAAGATCTTTAAGGACATGGATTGACACAGTTTGCCAACAGTGGGCTTGAGCACAGGGATGATTGTAAGTGTGGCACAGGATGAGATAGTAATCTGTTGTACATAAGGTCACTCTGAGTGAGAGTTGATTCAATGACACCTAACAACAACAGCAAAATATGAAAACCAGGGAAGCACGTCCTCCTTGGAATAGCAACAACATAAGAGCAAAAGTGCGACTTATGTCCAGGGATATTGCTTAGGAGACAGGAAGGGCTAGAATACAGAGATGAGATGGCTAGAAACAAGAATCACAAGAAGAAAGTGGAAGAATGGTTACACTGGGTGTATTGTAATTAATGTTATAAAACAAAATGTTTAAGAATGGTTGAATGAGAAACCAATTTGCTTTGTAAACTTTCACTCAAATCAAACACAAAAAGAACACTAAATATTTAAATTTTTTAAAAGGAAAATGTGAAACTAAACTGAGTATATGCTTCATTGAAGAAAGTAAGAATTTGGGGGGGGAAGAAAGTAAGAATTGGAATTGCACAGAAAGTAGATTGTCATTTGAATAGATCTCCACAATAAGTCAAGCAGGGTACCACTGGTTGAAAAGATAAAAATGTAAAATTTGGAAGGCTTACTATTGTGGTCTAGGATGGACATTGCTGAACTTTTTCTGCAAAGGGACAGATATTATAATTATTTATTTTTTACCAACAGTCAATTTATTAAAATAGTTGATTTAGGCATCTTCAATGGTGACTTCAAACTCTACTCAAGGCTCAATGCTGATGGAGGTGATCTGCTTGACAATCTCAGAAGTGCAAGTCGATGAGTTGCTTGTGGATCCTAATCTGGAAATGATCCCACATCGTGGAACCTTTCCCACAAGGAGTCTTCCTTGTAGTGATTCTCAGAGTCTTGGTAGGTATCTTAACCAGTCCCTTCACCTTCAATTTCTTCTCCTTTGAGCCTCTGATCAAGTAGGCACACACCTTTTCCAGGGATTTACATTGTGGCTGGTTAGGGTAATCCTAATCTGGTGAATGGCCACCCCAGTTCCAGGAGCATCTTTCCAGTGTCCTTAAAAGCCATGGCTGCAGCATGGCTTCCTGACCAACTTGTTCCCCGGGGAGAGCAAACAGCAGTGAGTCAGGAGCGGGAGTGAGTGAGTCTTCCTCAGAGAGAGATATTAAATATTTTAAGCCCTGTAGATCAGGCCATGGTCTTCACAATTACTTGTCATATATGCATCAGAGAGCTGGATAATGACTAAAGATGACAGAAGACAATGCCTTTGAGTTGTGGTGCTGAAGAAGAGTACTGAATGTTCCATGGACTGCTAAGAGGAACAAACAGGTCTGTCTTGGAGAGGGTGAAACCAAGCTGCCCTTTGAAAGCAAGGATTTTGAAGCTTTGTCTCACATACTTTGGGCTTGTGACTAGGAAGGACCAGTCCTTGGAGAAGGACATCATGGTTGGAATGGTGGAGGAACAGTGCAGGAGAGGAAGACCTTGGAGGGGATGGATTGACACAGTAATTGGGGTAGTGAGAGAAGGTGTGTTGGAGACAGTGAGACTGGCTTAGGATAGGGCAGGGTTCAGAGCTATTGTGCTCTTAACATCTAGGGTCACTATGAGTCACAGGTGACTCAATGACACATAAAAACAATGGTCATTAGGTTTCTCTCTCAACTACTCTATCGTGATGTCTAATAAGAAAGCAGATACAAATAATGCATAAACTAATGGACATGGCCTTTCTTCGAGGTAATTTTTATTTACAAAACCAGGAAACAGGGGGGCAGGAGGGGAGGGCTAGGCAGGGAGAAAAGT